TTTTTTCTTGCTTTGGTTTAATAGGTCTTTTTTTGAAGATTTTAAAACACAGATTGTTTAAGGAAATTAAGTAATTTTGGGACAAAAAGGATGCTTATTGGGGACGTCCCGCTTCCCTCTATGCCTCACAGAGTTAAAAGCTGCTCCAGTCTTTGTTCTGGCCACATTTTCCTTTTTTAAACGTAGTTTCTAATATATGTTTTTTTAATATTAATGTAGGAAATATAGAAACAGGAAAACTCAGTTAATATGAGCAACATACGATTATTGTAAATAAAGTTCTTTCCCTTTAAAATCTCAGAACTGTCAGAATGACGGCCTCAGTAGTTCTAGTGTTAAGCTTGAAGACTCAGATGTTGTGCCATGCTAGCATCATGTAATCTTCATCTAAGTCCTGAAATCTTTCAGTCTAAAGATGAGTGTATCATTAGAGCGGACAAGAGAGCCTCCCTCTTCCTCAACAAGCAAATGTGCTGAGAGGCAGTGTCATGTTCAGTGATCCAGTGGGAGTGGCCCTCTGGAGCCTTAATACAGCCTGACCTCAGATTGTTCTAAGATGACCTGCTACTAATGACTCCGGCTGGATTAAAACCTCATTAGGCCTCATCGGCATTCCTGACAGTAATGGCAGCGACAGCGAACACCCAAGACCTTGGAAAAAAAAAAAAAAAACTGCTGTTGTGACATGTCCCCTCATAATCCACTCAAAACACAAGAACAATGTGTCCTTTCTCCACGCAGTTAGCTGGTCACAGTGACGATTAAGTTTTCCCTCCCCAGACACAACAAGCCTTTAGTTCAGCTTGACTTCATCTCATTTGGCTGCCACCGCCCACCACTGTCCCCCTAACTGTTTACCAGCCTTACTCTGCTGTGTCTTTAGAAGGACATGAATCCTTTACATAGATATTCTGCAAAATGATCTCAAAATGAGTAAAAATGTCTTAAATTAGGGGTATTTACCCTTAATTTGAGCAGGTAAATAAGATGACTTGCCAATGAAATTAGTATTTGTACTCTTAAAATAAGGTATCTAGATAAAATGCACTTGAAATAAGACAATGCAATTGTTTTTTTCTTATTTTAAGTTTAACTGTCTTGTTCCATTGGCAAAGTTTCTCACTTAAATCCTTAATTCAAGAAAAATTGCACTTATTTTAAGAAGAAATGACTTATTTAAATTTCATCTTTTGCAGTGTACACTTTTCCACCATTTTCTACACATATATGCAACAGTGAACTAAAAAAAAGTTGGTTATTGTCAAACCCACAAAACCCTCGGCTCCAACTGGAGGTGATTATGTAGAGTTTCTTGGTAAATATGTAAAAATAAAAGCCTAAAAAGGAGCTTGGAATCTTAAAGAAGACCACATTATGGCGGCTTACAAAGAACTTCCTATTAAATTATGACACCCTAATGACTTAATATTGTAATCCATGTTTTCCACTTTGTTTTTAGCCCATTTCACGGTAAACTTTTACATTTGTGGTATTAATAATAAAAATAGCATGTGAGCAGAGGTATAATATGGCGCATGCTGAAAGTGTGTAAAAAGGAGGTAATTGGCTCAGCAGAAATGGGAAAAAAAGATCCCAGATCAAGTGAAAAAGCATCCTGATTGCAAAGCGGTATAAGATACAAGCAGCTCTTAGGATGCAACATGAGCGCTACTGTTTCCTGAAGCGACACTGAAAGCTGTCCAGGCTGCAAAGTTGATGGATGAGTAAATAAATGCTGCCAGCAGATGGCGACGGCGTACACAGCGTTTATACGGGAATGAATGACTGTAATTTAATGTTTTAATGCTCTTTAAATGCTATTTAAAATCATTTTAATGCCATAATTCGCATTTTTCCATTCTCTAGCCTTTTCTCTGCCTCGAGCTTCTTTTCCGAACATACGGCTTTACGATCAACTGGAAGCGGTTCCGCACAAACATGCCGAACCAGTTAAATCTAATGTATCTGATGAAATTGTTTTTATAAATGTTTTTTTTTTATTATTCTAATAAAGCATTTTAAATACGATACTTACACGATAATTACATTTAATGGATTTTCATGCCAATTAAGGCCTTAATCCAGTTTATCATGGGTTATTAAATTTTAATTTAATGAGCTGAGGAAACCCTGGTACACCAGTGTTTATGTCTGCTGACATAGTCTGCTGAAAAAAGTCTTTAGGCAGCAGAAGGACTATGTAAACACTATCAGGATGAAGTGATGGGATGTGAGTATAGGCCCTTTTAACAATTGATTATGCTTCTTTTTTTATTGTAGCATAAGCATAAACAACCGTTAAAGTCGTAGGGAAGCGGCTGTTCCAACCGCTGCATTTCTGAATTCTCCTGAGTGGTGCACGACTTTACACGAGTGAATAAAGTGAATGTGATTGGTCGATTATCAAGGGGGCGGGATTTTTGTGGCAGAAGGTTTGCAAGCATGTTTGGTTGTGGCCCGTTTCTCTGAAGCATCTTGCTAACCAGTTAGCATCTTAGTGCTAG